AATGAATCTAATAGGAATAAAATAATCTAATTCTAGTTACTATATAAATGGTTAGTTACAAGATATTTATGATAAATCAGCATAATCAACATTAGAAAGGCCCTTCATATCGCTTTTTCCTATAAATTTGAACTATTTAATACTTCCGTTTATTTCCGAATACGCCATTTTTTTAAACCCTAATTATGGCTAAGAATGTATTATCGGAAACTCCAAATACTTTTTTGCTTATCTGCACCTGTGATACAAATCATATACGTATTTAAATTAGTTGTTTAAAAATAATCATTGTCATTCATATAACATTTCAATACCAATAATTCAAATCACAATTTTCTATGAATTAATCTCGAAAAGGATGATAGTAACTTCAACTTAATGATATAATATCAAAGCTTAAAAAAACAAAAAGTTTTTATCTCTCTTATGATAGTCCAGTACATACAGTTAATCTAATGACATATAGATAAAAAGCAAAAAATATTCAAAAAAATTCAAAACTTATAACAGCGAACTTATTAAAGTTTCACATATAAGGTTCTTATGTTAGAAGAAAAAATATACTAATAAAATACAGTAAAATCTTAACATGGAAATCATTATTCCTTAGTATGAGATTGAACTATTACATGTAATTAGTATAACATTTCTTTTTCAAAAAATTATATAAATACTCTTCCCCTTTCTCACTAATTATTTTATCGCGTATATTATTAAAAAAATTTTTCGTATCTTTATCTTCAGAATTTTTTTTTTTTTTTATTTCAAGGGCGATCTTGCCTGTGTGTCTTTTTTATTATTAGTAACATATGTCTTACATTTTATATACAATGTATATCAACGAAAGTACAACTAGTCACACGTATAACTTTAGTCATTATCTAATTAAGGGTTCCGCCTGTAGGTTACCCACTAGATGCCATATCTGAGACCCGCCTCTGAGTCCTCTATTTGAACTTTCTGATTTTCAACACTTATTGCATATATGCAATCCTTTATATTACTATTGTCAGGACAGAACAGGTTAGGGCTATCTAATTACTATTTATATCTAAGTACCACCTCATTAGATGCTACTAAGTATCCATAGTCCTTTCGAATTTACCCTTGACGCAAACTTACTAAGTATGGTATCAAGATTACCCCTTAGATTTTATCCAATTTTAGTAGCTCTCATATCTACTAGAACCGGTTTGGTGCCAGAAGTGTTCAAATTTCGGTAAGTTCATTCCTTTTCCATAGTTTTCTTTTTATATACACCGTATCACCCGCTAGTGCGCCTTCTCTCCATTTCTGGTATGTTCACCGTTTTTCTCGCATCGAGCGTCGTCTCTCCATATTGGAAAACTTCTTTTCGGGAACTTCCTTATACACCGATCTTCTATTCACATGGACTTAGCCACAGGGCTTCGCGTACATTCATATGCTTCCGTAGATTACAGAGTTTTACCTCCAGCTGGAATTGAACCGTTGACCTTGTCTGTGGAGGGCAGGGTGCCTAGACCGCTAGGCTACGGGACCCTAACCCTCTTCATCTTCAGAATTAAGAATCATAGCTTTAAAAAAATAAACATAAGCCAATTTATCCGCATCATTATCGTCAGAATCATCATAATAAAAAACAGCAAGCTGAAAAATACTATCAGCATAATTCATGTCTGCAGATTTTTGAAGGTACTCCAAAGCTTTATCTTCATCTTTATCAGTACCATCTCTATGTAAAAAGCAATATCTGACTTTATGAATGGCTGGGACAAGACCTAAATCCGCGAATTCTTTAAAGTAATAAAATGCTTCGTCTTGTTTACACTCTTTTTCTTTTCGCAACCCTTCATCATATAAATCTTCTGGTGATTTATAATTTCCAATAACCATATTTTCTACATCAAATTTTCTTTAGTTTGATTGAGATAATGATGAGACAAGGAAAAATATCGTACATACATGTTGAGAGTCAAACTCAATCTATCCAAGTTGAGGTTGTTTCTCAACACGTATGGCATGATATATATATATCTTGCTCCATTGTTAGTCTATTACTGCTGCTCCCTTGATTATAAAGATAATTTTTGAAATAAGTTAATTCCGTAACCCCTACATTAGAACCAACTTTTAATATTATGTATTTAGACCTGAATAATTATACAAAGAATCATCCGAATGAGGAAATTTGAACGAGAGAAAATTATTGGTTGACAAATGCATTATTATAGTGATGATTTATTTTGTTCTGGATCGTCTTGGACTTTGCAATATTATGTACTGTATCTTTAACCACATGTACAATTACTTAATTGTCATTGATCGCGCGATTATAAAGTGATTTTCTTAATAAAAATTTAATGCTATAATTTATGATCGGTTCTACCACAAAAATCTCGACATCCAAAATCTCGAAAACCATAATCCCGCGGGGTGACAATTAATATTTGTAATCACAATAACTCATTAAATTTTTGTTACATTTTCAAATCAGGTGATTGACTGTATGTGCGATTTGCAAATTTGATCAAAGATACATCATTTTGCAAAACAACGATAAATAAATCTAAGGAACAATACCATCATGTGTTGTTCCAAGGTAAGGTCAATTTAATATTTATGATTACTAATCATCAGTGATTTTTAAACATTGAACTTTCGTTTGAGCAAACAATAGGTATATATCTTTTAAATGGTATAATTAAACTTAGTGATTGCTACATATTCGCATTCGTAAAAATCTTCATAAATGTGGTAAACTAATGATCAGATTAAGGGTCGACACTTAAATTTATGCAATTGGATGTGTAAAAAACCAGAACAGGCAACAAGGGCAATAGTGAAATTATCTTGAGTTATAGTTACAAGAAGGAAATAATATCAGAATCAATGGTTTTTGACCTATACCTTTTGGCGTTATTTCGAGACAATGGCAATAATAACTTAACACTGATTTATGAATTGTAAAAGTTCAATTTCAAGAATTTAGCATGACAGATACTTTGGTTTATTAATTAATTATTACTCTTGAATTTTAATAATTAGATTATGTTTAGATTTTAATTTGGGTTTGTCTTTATATGAATTTATTTCTAATAATATTAAAAGCTATAACAATAACGATAGTGATAAATTTTTGTAATTTAATTGGTTAATTATTGGTCTACAATACTGGATTTATATATTGTATACCTGATAAATGAATATTTTACTAGAATAGCTGGACGGTGAAAAAAAGCCAAGCAATCTGTGAACGCAATTTTACGAGATACGTTTCAAGTCCTAACATTTGAAATAACAGTGTTTATAGCTTTTAAGAGATTTTTTGCTACAATATTTTTATATGCTAAATGGTTTTGATCTTGGCTGAAATATGTATTTGTTCAGGACATGCAATTATCTGATGAAAAGTCTTCGAGGCTAGGTGGTTCAGTGTTCAATTTTAATGAGATTTATGAACGTTTGAAAGAATTTAAACAAAATTTTACTAAAAACAGACATACACAGTATGTTAATATGTATATACCTATATAGTTCTGATTTGTGGTTACCTTATTTACGCGAATTAATGCTCATAGACGTTAATTAGAGACGTGCAATTTAAAAAGAACCAATAATTAATTCTGAGTGCGATTCATATATAACATATATATTGTATAAATAATTTTAAAGTCAAAAATATATATTTCCGTATTTACATTAGCTGTTAAAATAGACTATTGACAATACGGTTTATCTTGTTATTGGATAAAAAATATATCAATATGCAAGATACGCCTTAAAACTCAATTTCTTAATATTTTATAACTTATGTAATATAGATTTGCGTATATTATAGCATATGTATAAATATCATTAATTTTAAAAGTATTCTTTTGAATAACAGGAGGAACTGTTAAAGTCACACAACAGTGATGGATTATATCTGTAACATTTTCTACATCAGAAATTTTCGTAATGGCGTCTTATAGCTTGTGCATAACCTTGCATTAAAAAATGTAGTCATCAATTTGTAGTCTAATAGAGTATAGACATATATAAATAGAAGTAAGGATTAGTAAGTCTCGACACCTCTTTTCCACTAATAACAGTAATAAAAGTGCAATGAGTAAAATACAAACCTCGAAGTCTTTTGTGTCGTCTAGTGCTGGTGGGTGCTGGTGGGTGCGTACGTGAACCACAGTTGAATCAGTAATGAAGAGAGTTGTGCATCGAAGCTAAGTCGTTAGTAGACAACTGTCTATTATTAATTTATTACAGTTAAAGCTAAAATAGTATTTCAAAATATTTATTTCTTTTAAATGTAATTTTTGATAATAATAAAATATTTTATCTATTTAATAGATTTGAGAAAATTACATATTTGCATTGGGCCTATTTCATTTACCATTTTTAAAACTCTTAAAGAAATTTTTTTAATATTAAAAGCTAAGAATTATTACTATAGAGTTGTTTAGAATAAGAAATTAAATTGAGATGATGCTGTGACATTAATAATAAATCAATTGAATAAGAAAATTTGTAAAATATAAAATCATTTTACTGGAAAAATAACATTTGGATTTTGTTAAAAGTCATGTGCTATAAGTTAACTGCTGCAACTCCAGAACTCGATAAATATGTTACTCATTAAGAAAATAATGATATTTAGAATTTTATTTTTTAACTCGATCAAAAAATCAAACACAACATCGATATAGTCAATTTCATTAGAATTACATCATTATGTTACCTTGATCAAAAAATCAGATACAACATCAATAGTCAAATTTATTAATATTACATATCATATATGATTATGTTAAATTAATCAAAAATCGGATATCAATCTAGTCAATTTTATTAACATTACTATAATATATAATCATGGCTTTAAGAATTTTCATATTAGAATCTTGGCGTCATCAATGTAAATTTCGTAATGATGTTATACTGTATTAAATAATTGCATAGTGGCACTTGTCAAATATATATATAATTTTTACTTTCAGCATTTTTCTCAAAGATTTCAAGCGACAATGATAAAAACAATTGAAGATAAAAGTGAACACATCAAATATTGCTTTGACATTATCTGGAAAGCGACAGAAGGAAAAATAACTTCTGCAACCTTCAATGATAATCCACTATTTTCTGTTACTTTCACATTAAATAATGGGTCTTCTGAAACGGTACATTTGGGTGCACCAAATGTAGTCCTTATAAATAAAGAAAACTTTGAAAAAATTCTGAAGCTTGACGAACAGAATAACAAAATTCATATCACAATCGATGATGATGGTTACCATGAGGTAATAATACATTATTATTTTAGTTTATTCTGCAGAAAAATACTAAAAAGAAGAAAATTTTTAGGCTCAAGAAACAAATCTAGGATCTAGCTTTGAAGTATTAGAGGGAGCTAGTAATAATCTGAATGAACATGATAATGTACTATTTACATCTTAACATCAAGTCTCGAGAAAATAATTTTTGATGACTATTAATGTCAAATACTTAAAATAAATTTTTTAGCCTAATACAACAGAGAGCACTCAATTAAACGAAGTCCAAGGTGTTGAGGTAAATAACTAATACTAATAAATTTCAAAAAGTGATCCTTTCAATCATTATAGAATTACATGTTTATTTTTAATACAATAAAATTAACAAAAGGAATCTCAAAACTACACTGATCTGCAATCTGACGAGTATACAGATTCAGATGAAGAAATCGAAGAACAAGTTTTTGATGAGTTAACGTTAAGCTTGTGCCAAGAGCATGAAAGTTTTCGAACTTCAGTAAATATCAAGAATAACTATTTGCATGATATAATTTGTAATATGGAAAACTAATTCGTAATTTCAAAAGGCCAATAAAGTTATAAGAAATGATCCTTCTGATTTATCAGAAGATTCATTAGTGGTAAGAATTTTAATTAATACGTAATAATAATAATATTTCCTTATGTATCTCTTAAATTGTTTTACATTTTAAAGGTCAATGAACCTGTAAATGAATCAATATCAAGCTGACAACCCAATAGAAATGTTAATAATTTATTATTAATCATACGTTTTTTTACATATGTCTGAGAAATTCGCATTTATTTTTTTGTATTAAATTTTTAGGACGTGTTATCAATCGCTTCAATTATTGATAATCAGGTAAATTTTCAATTAACTTTAGAAATCTTAGCCTTTTTTTCATTAGATAGGTATTTAAATATATATTTACATTATATTATTAAGGGAAATGAAAGAACTTCTATAATTAATAAGAAGGTAAGAATAATTCCAAATCTTTTTTAAATTAATAAAAATGCTAACACACGTATCAGAATCAGAATGATAATAGAGAGGTAAGAAAATTTTACTTTTGATTCAGTTATTTTAAGCATTTTATGTTTAATAAGGAATAAAAATCTATTAAAGTATGAATCAGTAAACACCCCAACCGAAATTACTGATGCAGTCAAAAAGGATCAAGCAAAAAATGTCGTGTCTGTACGTAAAAATTATGTTTTGACTTCTTCAGATCATCATAGAATTACATAATACGTAAAAATTTACAGAAAACACAAAAATTTGGTGATCAATCTGATTCCGAAGAAATCGAACAAAATTTTGACAAATTAACGTCAAGGTTGAGCCTAAAGCGCAAACCTATAATCAGCGAAACTTTTCGAAGTTCGAAAAAATTCAAATCACAAGTAAATATCATGAATAAATTTTTTGCTTTGTAATATCGAAAACTAATTCGTAATTGACAAAAGGCCAAAGAAAAACAAAAGGCTAATGAAAGCACAATAATAAATGTTCCTTCTGATTTGCCTTTTGTTCTTGTTAATGACCCTATTCCGGTAAGAATTTTAACTGATATATAATAATAAAAATAATTTGTAATAATAATAATAATTACTAAGTATCATAGTCAGAACTTATTATAAATTTTTTTATAGTAATGGAATGCCGATTCATTACATTGAAAAGTTTTTTTTTTACTAAGTAAACATCTTTTGAATCTTTAATTAATTTAACAGGAATTTTTTATCGATAAAAGCAAGAAACCAAGAAGTAAGACTTAAAATAAATTTTTAGTGTAATCATCATTAATTATTATTTCTAACTACTTTAAAACTATCTAGCTTCAAATGATTCCATTAATATTTTGGTATATAGTATGGTCTGAAATTTGATTTTAAAAATCTTCAACACTAATGTAATAAAAATCTTAGGATGAAGTTAGTGCACAAGAAATGGAATCGAGTTTTGATGTAGAAGAAGATGGCACTGTAGATGGCCAGGGAGCGGAAGTATCGCAAATCAATAATAATTTAATTGAGGAGAGTGAAGTCACAATCTGATTCGGATTCAGATAATGAAATCAATGAACAAAGTTTAGTCCGAAAGCACAAAATCACCCAAAAGTTTAAAGTTTCAAAGAAACCAAAAAAAATGATTTCACGAATAAACACATAATCAATGAAAGTTCAGTAAGTTTATCTATATTATTACATGTATCAAAAATTTATAATTTATTATAAATCTCATTCGTTTATACTAAATTTTTAGGATCTAGGAAGTAATGGTATATTCTTTAAATTTTAAATTTTTTCAAATTTAAATAATTCAGAATTTATTTTTAAGAACTACAAGTTTAATTTTTTTAGACCTACAAATAGAGTCGACTGCCTATAGCAAACGTCTTAAATTGCCTTCATATTATGCAGAAAGATTGAATGAACTAAGAAAAGGAGAAGGAATGTCCAACAATTTTGCATCAAATACAAATGATCTAGTGGGAATGTGTTTACAACCAATTGTAAAATATTTTAATGAGGACTCAACAAAAGTTTTGTTGGAGCCATTGCCAAAACAGATGAAGGATGTTGGCAGTTGTTTAAAGTATCTTCAATTATGGGAACAACACTTTGAACATTATCAAAAAGAGATCATCAACCATCAGTATAAAATGCTTAAGCTAATATATTCTTTGTCTGATTTCTTTTTTATATTGTTGATACTTTGTCAACAAGAACAACAAGAAGAAATGAGCCCAATTGCATTAGAGAGTACTACAGATAATTGAAAAGGTAATGATTTAAAGGCTTGGATTAACAAAAAATTTAGCAATATTAATTCACGCTCTATTTTGAGAAAGTGGACTGCATGTTGGAAACTGCATCATTTCCTATGGGTAACAAATGTTACATTGAATGAGATGATCGAAGTTAAGCTAAATGCAAAATATTTTCTTAGTGCAAGTGAAAGCGAATATAATTGCCTGATTAAAGAACTGTTTAGAAATCTAGAATTCCCTGAATTCCATAACATTAAAGGGGAAAAAATATTAGAATTAGTAAATATTGCAAAGAATGCTTACACAATTTAATGATAATTGTTTGTAGCAATTGCTTAATTTTGTTTTTATTTTTTGCTTTTGCTCTAATCCTTTTTTGAAAGTGGAACAGACCAATAATGCGATAATTACCAATTAGCAAATTTTAACATAAAAAATAATATCATATTATGTGTTTTAATTGTATATTATTAAATATGCTAATGCTCGACTTACGAATGAAAAATCAAATACCTTAATAAAATTTGTATTATTATATTTATATTTAATTTTATTTTTTTCACATAATTCAATTCACCTATCGAAAAAATCCTTGAAACAAATAATAACTATCCCGTTAATGATAAACTTTAGCCCATATTTTAATTTTGTCAATTCAACTCAGTTTATTCTCCTACGGCATCAAGATGCTGTCAGAGAATGAACTGAGTTTCAATGGATCATGATAAAATTAAACATACTAATTCTTACCCTTGTAATCATGTGACATTATTTGGCATGGACTTATCGTTATATGTAAACACATAGTTAAATAATTAGGGCGATTTTTTAATAAGAATGTATTATTGACCTTCTTGAAGGTGAATTCAATAAATTAAAGTTTGTAACTAATAATTGTAATAAACAAGGTTTATAATTAAATAATTATTTATTCATATAAAAAGTAACAATTTATTTATTCATATACTGGTTTTGCATACCAAGTTCATACAAACAGTCAAATTTATACAAACTGACAGTCAAATTTTATACAAAACTGACAGTCAAATTCATACAAACAACAGTTAAATTCGTATAAATTGACAGTTAGTTTGTACGAATTTGACTGATAGTTTGTACGAATTTGACAGTCAGTTTGTACGAATTTGACTGATAGTTTGTACGAATTTGACAGTCAGTTTGTACGAACTTGATATGCAAAACCTATAAAAGTAACAATTTATCTAGTTTGCTAAATATCTTAAAAAATTAAACATTAACATCTGGTAATCCCATAGAATTTAATGATAAAGTGAGTTGCGATGTCGGACGAAACGTTGACGATTGACGAAACTCTTGGCGATTGACGAGACCCTTGATGAATCAATTTGACCAATGAAATATCAAAATATACTAACTATTTTTCAACGAGCTTCTTTATAGCCACCTCTGGATATGCCGGACCTTAGATTTTTTTTCAAATTACCGTTATTTCATTATAAGTTCCACCAGTTCATATGAAAATGGAGCTTTTTTTCTTCCAATCATCAGTTGTTATAAATAAAAAATTACTATGCAAAAATTAATAAGCTATACGGATGTTAATTTTTAGTTCTATATTACGTGAAATTTAAAGCCGTTATCGGTAATATATGAAGTTGAGTCAATAGAAATCAAGCAAATCAAAAATTTTTCAAAATTGAGATTTTTTAATAAAATAATAGAAGGTAATATGCCAATCATTTTTTAATTAATATGTATTTTTTTCATGTGTTACTGCCGGATAACACCATTATTGGGCAAATTGTTGAATACGGTAATTTGACAAATAATTGGCTACACGTGCCGCAAAGCGGCACGTGTTCATTTGCCAAATTACCGTTATTCAACAATTTTTGCCCAATAATGTATACATTAGTCATTATTAATCGTGATCGAACGCATTCAAGTGATACAAAGTGACTAATATAAAATCTTTTGATTTACATTGATTATTCTATTAAATACCCAAAAATTGCACCTGCTCTTGTAACAAGTCATGAATATTGCAAATATTGTTTTAAAATAATTTACACTACACTGTTAATTCTGTCACTTATCTTTGGCACCTTGCATATTTCTCTTTCGCATCACAAATGATTTCTTATATTAGTTTATGATAGTTATAATGGCATCTCCAATTGATTCATTCTTCGTTAAGATAGAAAAATTAATTGAGTTTCAGTTAGTTAACGGACAAACTCAAGAACAAAAAATTAAACTAAAATTTGCTGAAGGAAAAGCCTTAATAGATAAATTAGAAGAGGAAGATGAGGAGCAACACGGATATTATAAATATCGATATTATTCAACCTATGCAAGTTATTTAAAAGTGATTAATAAGATAGATAAGGCCGCCAAGCAGGAAAAGTTATTAGAAAAATATAAAAAATTCGGACCGGAAAGAGAAAATATCGATAAAAATGAATCCTTATTGTTTGTGAACGCTGAATCAGATAATCAATCTTCTGCTTCTGGTAAAAACCCGTTAGAAGAATCCATAAGAGAGAAACTAATAAAAGCACAAGATATTTTAGATGAGACAGTTATTGAGCCTATTAAAAAAGCCTTTGAAATTTTACATGAGGCACCAAAGACCTTTGAAGATTATCAGAAGATTGTTAATTATGTGAATACTTTGCTTGAGTCATTAAATGTTTTAATTGATGAAGAACTAGTCGTTTTGGATCAACTTAATAATGAAGATAATGTTCAATCAAATCAATCAGAAATTAAGCAAAAGATAGAGAAAGTGCTTGGTCGTTTAATAGTTTTAAAAGATTTAAAAAATTCTGCAAATAATCTCACTAACCAAATGGTTTATTCAAAAGGTTAAATTTTATTCACAATACTTTAAATTCAGCTGATAAGAAAGCTGTCTTGTTCAACAATATCTTATTTACAGAAGGAGGAATCAACAAACGTTATAGAGAACTTGCTTCTTGCTTCCATCCAGATAGAACAAAATATTTCAATGCTCCAAATGGGCTTCATGGTAACGATCAATATCTCGGTGCAAAGCTCTTTAGAATTATTCTAGAAATTAAAGAAGACTTATTGAGAGATTTGGAAAAAGCTTCAGAAAGTAAAGGCGTGCTCAACTTTCATGAAAAGAATGCAAATGAGTATTTTAATATTGCAAATGATTATCGCAACACCTATAAAAATAATGGAAATAAACTAAAGATTTTAAATAAAGAAGAAATTAGTGAAATCCCTAATACAGAACTAAGACATTTAAGCATATCATATGAATTATTGGCTTATAGGGAATATCGAGCTTCTTGTAAAGTTGCAGATGCAACCAAAGAATTAAAAAAGCAAATAAAATTACGAGAAAGTATAGCATTGTGTTTATATATTTTCGATCACTTATTAGAAGCACAATTATACGCTTTATTAGCGATTCAATTAATTTGTTGGCATTCTCAGTATGTTTCTCAGAAGGAACTGGTCGATGCTAAAAAAGTATTTGATAAAGTTAGAGGTGAAATATCTCAATTAAATACAGATATTAAATTGAAAGACGATTTAAGTAATTCACAGGCTTTGGTTAAAGTGATGAATGAAGGCATATCCTTTTTAGAGAAGTGCAATATTCAACATTCGGTTGACAACGATTTGAGAATGATATCAGCTGAATTAATGTTCAAACCAGATCGTCGAATTGTTAGTTATCAAGCCTCTCAAGAAAATATTTTATATTCTAAAGTACAATATGCCATGTATAAAATAGCTGGCGCTTTATCATTAATAGGGGCAACAGCGACAGTAGCTTTAGGAGTTACATCTATTATATTTGCTCCCATAATTCCCATAATGAGCGTTTTATTGCTAGCACCTCTAGTATCTTTATGGTACAGTGTGAGTCCATAGAAACAAGGTACAATGCTTTTAGATGAGCCAAAAATCCGCGAAAAGCTCAATGAAATTATAAAAGTTGCATTAGATGCATATGATAAAGGAAATTATCAGCAATTTTTCGACTCACTTTGTAAGGAATACAAAAAGAACACCAGTCTCATAAAAATAAAAGAATCTAATATAATTATTCCTGAAGATATAATAGGATCACTCTTGAGGCATGGTTTTAGATCAGATGGAATCGCTTATCTGTTAAATCTAATAGGTGAAATGCTAAGCAGTAATAAAATAAAAACTCCAGATAACGATAGGGCATCAGATGAGTTAAGAACTATGGGAAAAATTGCTTTTAAAGGGGTATTATACAAAAAGCTTGTGGAAAAAGCTAAAGCATTGGATGACCAAGTTCATACATTACGAGAAGATACTCTGAAAAGCATGGCTAAGAGTACTTGGCATAAAATTATAGATTTTTTGCTACTTAAATCATATAGTGAATTAGCAAAAGAATATAAAGACAATGCTCGAGAAATGCCTTTTCAGTCAAGACTTAAGGAAATGCGTAATATCGCAAGACTTAACCTCGTAATTTTTGATATAATCAATAGTGACGAGGAAGCACCTATGAGAATTAACAAAACAGTTGAGGAAATTAGAAATTCAATAAGCTATAATTATCAATTTTCTAGCTCAACCGAATCATGCCTCGAAGCCTTGGAAGATTTTTTATGGATTATGAGGGGTGATGTGTCTAAATCTCTCTTAATTTACTCTATAGAGCCAGCTAAAAAACAATGCAATGAAGAACATGATAGAAAATATGATCAAAAATATATGGAATATCTGAAAGACAAACTACAAAAGGCATCCAATAATAATAAAAGAATAGATCTTCATAGTAAACTAGCTGATTACTTTGTGAAATTGGCTGAAGAAGATAAAGTCGACTTATTAAGCAGTTTACGTCATTGGCATAATGCTAAAGAACATTATAGTGAAATACGTGTAATTAACCCCAGTAACTTATCTGCAACTCTTAATTTTGCAAAATGCTTATTAAATTTATCGCAGTATCGCTTCTTATAAAGAAATAAATTACGACAAGGCTATGGAATTTATTATTGAGGCATTGAAATTAAATCCTCAAAACATCTTGATTACGAAGCAGAAAAGACACCTTGATAGAATAAAAGAGCATTGTGTTGAAAATCGTGTTAATCGTCACAATAAAAAAATATATAGTGTAGATAATTCACTTAAGAATTTACATAGATATAATGAAGATGATTCTGTTTATAAAATTCTCTCGATTGATGGAGGAGGTGTGCGTAGTATATTACCTGCTTTATGGCTCAGTGAACTAGAATATCATACCCATAAGCCCATTTCTCAGCTATTTAATATGGTAGTTGGAACTTCTACAGGTGGATTTATTGCTGCTGGACTTTCAATGCCGCGTGAGGAGTTATCAAGTTTTAAGCCTTTTTCAGCCACTGATTTGTTAAATTTTTATCAAAACCAAGCGAAATTCATATTCACCAAACCACCGTGGAGCAGCTTTCCGGGAACGAAATATACAGATGAAGGACATTCTTCTACATTTAACAAGTATTTTGGAAAAATCTGATTAAATCAAGCACTAACCAATCTGGTTATTCCTGCAGTAAAAGTAAACAAAGACTACATGCAATCGTACTTGTTTACATGTCATAACTCAACTAACACACTTTTTGATGCTTTAATGGCCACAACTGCTGCACCTACTTTCTTTCCATCCTACAAAATAAAAGATAAAGGTATTTTTGTAGATGGAGGTGTAAAACTTAATAATCCCGCATTGACAGCATATACTGAAGTTTTTGAAAATAGAGATATTAGAAAAATTACAGTGCTTTCTTTGGGTACTGGTAGTTATATACCAGATCCTTTACGTCCAGACTTGTATCATTGCCAACTTTTTTGGGAAAAAAATTTATATAACGATGAATGTAACGTTGATAATTCAATGTACTCAATGCTAGGAAATTGCTATCAACGATGGCAGGTTTTGTTAGACAAGCCAGTATCATTAGATGATTGCAATAATATTTCTTATCTTTTAGAATTAGGTCATCAATATATAGAAGAACTTGACGCTTCAGATGAGAATCCTTTAAATGTATTAGTAGAGTCTTTTGAAAGTGGCTAATATTTTTAATACTATTAAAGGATTTTTCATAAATTAAACATCTCTTATTTTTTTATACATTTTTTTTGCTATACTATAAGTAAAGAACCAAATGTATTTTGAAAGATCTTAGGTGTTGGATTTGTAGTTTTTTTTCTGTTAAAAGTTGAATTGTTGCTAATTATCTGTTATTGCTGTTAATTTGAAACACGAAATTTATATCCTTATTCAAATCTAAAGTTTCAGTTTCATTTAATAAAAATTTTATTCCTGATAGCGTCATATTAACAAGTTTAGATCAAACAATATGTTGACATAAATAATTTGTACAATAAACTTCCAGCGTTCCGAATAATCTATGTTACTATTTCGCAAATGTCTTATAAATATTTGTCTGCTTTCCATATTTATCAAAATTACAGTGGCATTTTAACAGAAATTCATATCATATTAACTAGTTAAATGATAACATTTTATAGTCTGGAGCATTAATTATCATCTCAAATTTTAGAATTGCCTTTATTCAAGCGAAATATAAATATACTGTACAATTTATTTGACGTAATATTTAACTTATATGTAGTTATCTGTCTTGGGAATTATTATCTTCTGTCCCAATTTTATGGCTATTTTATGATTATTCTAGGCTATGTAATTCTTTGGAATAGAGATAGTGTTTCAATATAACAAAATTATCTTATTTTTATTTGATTTTGCCTGTTATATTTGGAGATAATTGTCATAACTACTTGATTAATTAATAAAATTTTGTTTAATGATCAAATTTGACAAAAATGGGCAATAAAAACAAGTGAAGTTAAATTTTTCATTAAAGGCTATAACGAAGCTTTAAATATTAGTTACTATATTTTTACTTCTTTATATGTAAGGTTAACAAAGCTTATAAAATTTAGGTTTAAAAGTGAAACGTCTTTAACATTAAGGAACACTGCTATTATTCTTTAAATTATGGGAAAAGCTTTTTTCATTTAAAGAATTTTTTTTCATAAAATATATAGTACATGTTTATTTGAGGTTTATTATACTATTAAAGCTAATATTTTCTTATCTGTTATACACGTATTATATTAAGAGCTTTGACGTTCTGGTCTGTAATAACTTTGAAAATTATAATTTAAAACATTATCTCTTAAACCGTTTCTCCTGCAAATTTGCTCTGAAATTTTTTAAAAAATTTTATTTTTAAAATAAAATTTTAAATATCAATTTTAACTATATACTTTCTAAATAAAAAATATATTTTTAAATATATTCTAATAACTTTATTAAGAAAAATTTTTTAAATTTATTAAAAAATTTAGGAGTAATAAAAACTTAAATTTTTTGTTTTGAACTTTTTACTATAAAATTTTTCTTTAAATTTTTTAAAAGTTTATATATTCCCGTCTATAAAATTATTTTTAATTCTAATATAAGTCTTAATTTTTACAAGTAAATCATAAAAGTTGTAATAATAAAAGTTGTCATCCTTATAATTTCTATTAGATTTAAAATTAATATTTAAAAAGTTTATCAAAAAATTGTTAATTTTTTTTTAATTAAAAAAATTTTTAACCTTTGTATATTTTTAGCTTATAAGTTAAATTTTTTATCTTATAATTTAAATATAAATTTAATAAAATATAATCTTTATTTTTAATTTTTATTAAAAAAAATTTTAATTAAATATATTGAATTTTTTAAAAAATAGATCAGAAGTATTTTTATAGTAAAATTCAAGGCAAATTTGCCCTAAAATTTCAAACGGTTTAAGAAATAAAAGTAAAAAAATATGAGTATTTCTTTGAATTCAAAACAATAATATTAGATGCTAAAGATTATGAAAAAATGTGAATGGAATCGTGCTTTTTTGAAAATAACATGATTTATTAGAATTTTTTAAATGCCGCAAATTATTTGGATTGATTAATGGCCACTAAGAATTGCTGTCAGCTGTTAGCCAGTTGATTAGCCGATATTTTAAACAGCTGCTTAGCCAGCCGACTAAAACCTTACTTAAGTTACGTACCAGTTCCAAACTCTAAGTTACACAAGATCAACTTTTTGGATCATTGTCTTACTCATATGATAAGGTTTCACAACATTTTTTTGTTATATATAGCGATAAATTCTGTCATTATTACTGTATTATTGTGATTTTTTTTTTTTTTTTTTTTTTTTTTTTAACCTTTGCAATATCGCGAGAAGGCAGATTTTATTAGGTATTTAGATAATACATTCTTGGTTACCCTATCCTGTACTATCCACCACAATCACGCCACCTCATA